TGTGTGTGTGTGTGTGTGGATGTAACATTACTTGTAAAGTTGGTATTTAATGAATATTCTTCCAGTAAATATTATCAGTAACATAATATCAATGTTATAATTTCCTATTATTTCCTGTCATACTCGATTTCTCTTATTTTATTATATAGAAAGATGTTAAAGTAATCGAAGAGTAAACATAGATGTATATTTTATAATTATGAATTTAAGGATAATAATGCACTTTATGCACAGATAAAGATATACAAACCCAGTAAACACCAACTAACAATAACATAACATTAATGTTATAATTTCCCATTCAACAATGTAAATGGAATATAATGTAATGTTTTATGTAACAGTTACATTCTTAAGTAGGAAATTATAACATTGATACTATGTTATTGATAGTTAGTGTTTACTGGAAGAATATTCAATACCAATTTTAAAAGTAACGTTACATTAATATATTATAATATGTATACTCACTCAACAATATAACTGTTACATACATGTGTTATATATAATAACACTCACACTTTTAAATAAAAAATTATAATATTGATGTAGCGTTACTGTGTTTGTTGATGTTTCCCAGATAGTACGATAAATTATTTAAGTGGTTCTAATATTAAAATATAAAGTTTTCTCCTTTCTGACGTCAATCTGAGCACAGATTGCTATGAAAATAGTATATACAAATAATATCATGTGTTGTATAAGTACCTTGTTTTCACCAAACTCTATAACTTTTATTTAAAAAGTATTCGTAATAAACTTACGAATTCTCCTTTTGTTTATATTTCTTTCTTTCTTTTTTCCTTTTCCTTTATTTTCGATATTACAGTACTATATACAGTACATGATATCATTTGAATGTACTATTTTCTGCACTCAATCTGTAGCAATCTGTACTCAAATTGACGTCAGAAAGGAGAAAACTTTAGAAACAATTAATGAATTCATCGTGTTTACATTTACAAACACCGCATTTACAAATAACGCTACATCATATATATATATATATATATATATATATATATATATTTATTTATTTATTTATTTAGTTATACAATTGATGTAACATTACTTTCAAAATTAAAATTACACTTGTTAATTGAATATTAATATACTTTTTAATTGTGTATTTTAATTTAATTTAATTTTTATTTTATTTTTATTTATTATTTTTTATTGTTTTTATTAGTTAAATAGTGCCTATATTATACTAGTAAATTAAATAGGCTGTATATAGACGTCGAGATATAAATAATAAAATAAATAATAAGAAAGAGGGAGAGAGAGAGAGAGGAGGTGGCAGGGAGCGAGGGAGAGAGAAAGTAAATATCTCTGTCTCCGACTAAAATAAAAATATATAACAATGTAAAATGTGAATACTTTATGTCGTTTTTACTTTTTATAGCTAAATTAAATAATAAGGAGATAAAACAAGAAGAAAAAGAAAAGGAGAAGAAAATAAAGAGAGAAAGGAGAGAATGTGTGAGAAGAAATGAAGAGGAGGCAGAAAAAATGAAGATAAATGATAAGACGGTAAAAAAACCATAAGAGAGCGAGATGGAAAGACAAGAGGAATATATGAGTAAGAATGAATAAATAAAAGCATAGATAAATAAGTAAATACATTTTTTTTGTCTACTGTAATAATAAGTAATAAATAAGTATTGCTTTACATAATATAGGATAACTTATAAAGATACAGAACTGGGATATTCTCTATGTTGTTTTTTATTATTTTTAAACAAGGCAAGAAGAAAGGAAGAAAGAAAAAAGTACAGAAAGCGAGAAGAAAAAGAGAAATTATAAGGAAAGAAGAAATTATACAGACAGATAAGGAACAAAAAATAGAAAGAAAGCAAGAAGATAGAAAATAGAGATATGCAAGATAGTAAAATAGAAAAGGTTACTTTTTAAAAGTAATTCATTATTATTACTCGTTATTCAAAAAAATACGTTGTTACCGTTACTTGAATACTTAGTATCTACTTTTTATAACTAAATTAAGTAATAAAAGGAGATAAAAGAGGAAGGAAAAGAAGAAGAGAAATGAAAATAAGGAAAGAAAGGAGAGAATGTAAGAGAAGAAATGAAGAGGAGACTGAAAAAATGAAGATAAATGATAAGACGATAAAAAAACTATGAGCTATCTGGAAAACATTTACAAGCACAGTAATGCTACATAATGTGTACACACACACACACACACACACACACACACA